TAATTGCATTAGCTGTTATGTGATAGTCCTCCATTAGCTCCATTGTGTTAAGAGGTTATCTCCATCTCATAATGTATCAGATAAGCCTGCAGTACAGAGCTGATACATTTAGCACATATACTAAAAAAGACCATTATTTCCATTAGTGGGCAAAAAAAATCAGTAAATCACTGGACGCTGTTAGCGTGCTGCACTTCATAGCTCCATTAGGTGAACGATCTGATATGATACATAGCGCGATACATCCTAGCCTGACTACAGTGCTAACACTTATTTAGAATTCAGGGTGAACGTTGCTTAGTTTCTTACAGTTCGGTGTCAAAAGTGGTTTGATATTGGCACAACCATTTGTGAGAAGCTAGATTAGCCTGAAATGACCCCTGAACGAGGAAGCGGGCGGATATCACCTTGACGGGGATTTTGTTCCATCAGGAAAACTCAGCTTCTGTTCAGAAGAGGATAATTATAGTACGCCTCCAGGCAGGACGTGCTTTCTTTCCCTATATGAATAAGTCATACAAATGCAGTGGGCTAATACATCGAATCAGAGACAAATCCAGAACCTGCCAAGACATACAAGACAACATTTAATCACGGATAGGAGATTATACCTGCTTTCTCGGCATTAATGTAACATGAGGCACAATTGATCTGAGCTAACTGCGCGTGCTTAGCTTTCCTGATTCAGGGACTTTTTGAACGCACTATAATTACATTTACAGAACAAAGGGTGCTCATTATCCTGAAGTGTTTAAAGTTCAGATGACATCAGCTCTTCTTGGCTTATTGTCACTTACATATTCATATGGTCGAAAATAATATTTAAAACACACTATATGGACAAAAGTATTGGGACACCCCTCCTGATTATTGAGTTTAGATGTTTCAGCTACAGCCATTGCTAAGAGATGGATCAAATTAAGCACATAGCTTTGCAGTCTTGATGGACAAGCACTGGCAGTAGAATCAGTCATACTAATGACCTCAGTGACTTTAAACATGGCACTGTCATAGGATGTCACCTCTGCCACTAGTCAGTTTGTGAGATTTCTGTCCTGCTATATCTGCTCCTGTCAACTGTAAGTGTTATTACTGTGAAATGGAAGCGTCTAGGAGCAACAACAGCTTAGCCATGAAGCGGTTGACCAAGCAAACTCACAGAGTGGAGCCATCAAGTGCTAAAGCACATGTGCCTATCCTCTGTTGAATCACTCACTAATGAGTTGCAAATTACCTCTGGAAGCAACATTAGAAAAAGAACTGTGAATCAGGAGCTCCATGAAATGTAGCTGAGTAGCTACACGCAAGCCTAACTTATTCTGTGGAGTGACGAATCATGTTTCTCTATCTGACAGTCTGATGGACAAGTCTGGTTTTGGTGAATGCCAGAAGAACGTTACCTGCCTGACTGCATTGTGCCAACTGTAAAGTTTGGTGGAGGAGGGATGATGCTATGGGGTTGTTTTTCAGTTTTGGGGTTGTTTTTCAGGCCCTCTTATCCAACATCAGTGTTTGACCTCACAAATGCTCTTCTGGATGAATGGGCAAAAATTCCCACAGACACTCCAAAATCTTGTTAAAAGCTTCCCAGAAATGTGGAAGCTGTTATAGCTGCAAAGGGGGAATCAAATCCATATTAATGCCTATGGATTTAGAAAGGGATGTCATAAAAGCAGGTGTAATGTGTAGATGTCCCAATACTTTTTTCCATGTAGTGTAGTCTTTCGAAGAGTACTCATTCCAAATTATTACATCATCATGCTTTGACTACTTTTAAACAAAATTAACATTGTCCTTTTTTAGTGTTTATACAATATATGGCATTATTACATATTTTAAAAATATGAAAGCACTTTTTTCATGAACTAATTACACCTGTTTTCCATTCAGGAGTGAAAAGGACAGAGCTGTCAAACTAATTTAGCTGTAAATATTGGATTATGCTGCTTGCTGCACATGTGAAAGAAGCACTGGATACAGAACTCTGGCCTGGAGAACCCAGCTCAATAATACATGAGTCCATAATTAGGAAAACATTGTCAGATATGGTGTGAATACTGGACCTATTGGTGAGACCTATATAGAAAATATGTGTTTCACATACTGGGCATTATTGTTGTGCATAATATTTTCTGTTCAATTTTCTGTGCCACCTTGTATTCATTAATCATTGATTTATTCATGCACTCATTCAGATTTAAAGTGCCTATATCATGAAACCTATTTTTCATTCCATCCAACCTTAAAATAAGAGATGTAGTGTGTAGTTTTAAAACATACTCCTCATTCACTCTCCAGGCAAAACAGTCCATATATGAAAACTAGGCTGCAAAAACCTGATTTGCCTGTTTTGAATGCACAGTTTTTGTAATGTCATAAAAAAATGCATTTACATAACCAGACTATAGCAGTTTAGCCTTGCCCATTTACGTTAAAGTTATAAAGAATGTTTCTGTCTGCACTGCTTTTTGAATAGTGCCCAATAGAGGATAGCCAATCAAAACAGAGAGAACAGAGGTCATTTACAAATATCAGGCACAGTAACAGTCTATTTCTTAGGGATAAATGACAAAAATGGACCTATAGAATTTTGTTCTGACGGCGACTAACCTAGACCTACCCTTTTTCTCCTCGTGTTTGAATAAAGCATTATATAGGCATGAAATGTGGCTTCATCAGTCTGGTTTGCATGTTAGCACACCATCGCTTACATCATCCTAGAGGCAAATTACATGTAAAGGTCCCCATAAAAGTAGATTGACAATTAATAATAAGAATAAATGGGGCAGCAATGTAATTTTAATTTTCTTCTCCAAATGCAAATTTATATACTATATATTCATACTTTGGTATGCTTCAGCATAAAGGTCAACCACATATGATATATAGGCCTACTTGTTATACAACATTAATGTGTACTTGTTACTTCTTAATTGTAAGATAGATGCTGGACAAGATAGTCCTGGTCTCTGCCTTATTATCTGAATCTGTATGCAATGTTTATTAATTATGTTCATCGCCACAACCAAAACACCTTAAATCTCCAAGTACAAGTGTTACATAAGATGAAGACAGTGAGCATTTATCTTATAATGTAGTATCCAGTAAACAGTATAGTATATTGCCAGGGTATATATTGACCTCTACATGGAAGCAAACTTCTAAAATTATGAATGCCCTGTATGGAAATTTGTGCACTTGAAGAAGCCAATTAAAGCTGCACTGGTTCAGTTATTAACCGTGAATCTATTTTTATAGGGACCTTTATATTAATTTGCTTCTAGGTCGATGTAATCAATGCTGCCCTAATGTGCAGATCTGGTCAAACCGATAACAACTCAATGAATTTTCAGTGTAAAATAGAGGGCAGAGACCAGCAATGGTAAACTTGCTTTGTCTGCAAGCAGTTCAGATTAATTAGTCTATAATAATGATTCATTCGAAAAAGGTTAAATCTATTTTTGATGCATACAAATACATGACACATAGAGAACTGCTCCTACCTTTCAAATATAATGGCAAGTTCTTGCATTTGAGTTCACATGACACTACGTCCTTTTCAGTAGGTTCGTTGACAATGATAACAGATCTCCTGAGGCATCACTGAATCTGCAGCTCAACAGGCTATCATATAACTCCAGCCAAAGGGTTGAACACCACTACACATGGATATGGCTGACTCAAACCCAGCAACTGCTTAACAACTGACATAAAAGTGCAACAGATTCCAGCCCTTCCAGCAGTTGAGAGGGTGATCATCATCTTTCCTACGCAGTTCCAAAAACTCAGATCATCTTCCCACGGAAAGCACAAAGCACACTGAATGTATTAGTGTTTTCACAGAACTGTGCTTCTCCAGGAAAAAAAAAGGGTAAAGAAAAAACACAGTTCTACATAGAACTGTTTTTATATCTCACTTTGCAGACATACTGAAATAAGAAGCCTTTTGCTCACAGCTCATGCAATCCCATCTTAACTCAGTAGTCTTCATAATTTCACATTCGCATTAGCTAGTCAGTAAAAAAACTGAAGCAATTATTTGTGTAATCAAAACAAATAGACAAAATGAGGTGAATTAACAAAGACAATTAAGCATTAAGTGTATGCTCTTAAAAATAAGGTGCCTATGGAGCAATGCCTATGAGGAATCACTTTTGTCCCCTTAAAGAACGTTTCAATGAATGGTTCTTTAGAGAGCCAGTTTCATAAGCTTGCAAGTATGAAGATCCTTTAAATGTTTAAAAAAAAACTTTTACATCAGTTTAACGTCTTTCCAAGAAACAGTACAGCGGAGCTAAGAACCATTCAGGAACCTTGATTTTTAGGATTGCACATTATTTTATTTTTCTTAATCAGCACTTTTTTGGCATCACTAATTAAAACATAATTACGGGCATAATGTTAAATAGTATCATATTATGCATTTGGCCACAATTGCCAAATTATCCAGAGCAACTTACAACTGAATCATATTACAGAGGTAGGCGAACGTAGCATTAGGAGTCTATCCCAAGAACTCACATATACTGCATGTAGCTGAGGAGATCACAGAGTGAAGGTGTGAAGATCTTGTAGCAGTGCCTTTTTTTATGTGGAGCAGGTAGTTGACAGCGATTACTAATTATGTTGAAAGTTTTTGTGGCCTAGACCCCTTAGTTCCAGTGAAGGGAACTTTTAATGCTTCAGGAAACCAAGACTTTTTTGGACAAAAAAGAACAACCACTTTTAGAACCTTCAAGTTTTTCTTAATAACCACATTGTATAAAGATACTACAAGTGTGAAGAATTTTTTTTAGTTTTAAAGAACCTTAACATAATGAAATTTAAATCAATACTCATTAAAGACTTCTCCTAGAACTGTACATCCAAGCCAAGAACCATTTAGTAACCTTTATTTTTAAGCTTCATTATTCTTAATCTCTGTTTAATATTTGATAAATGAACAACCACCTTTAACACAGTAAGATTCAGTGCACTAGTGATTGTGTACTCTCGCCTACCTGGTGTGTCCCCAAATGGCTTCTGTGGTTTGACGGTCACCCCGAGGTTAATCGTAGGCTGTGTGGTGCTCAGCCTCCGGGGATGGGGGGTAGTGACCACCGCGTAAGTCCTTTGGGGGCTGCGTGTGGTGGTGGTGGTGATGGTAGTTGTTGTGGTGGTGGTGGAGGCTTTTGTGGTGGCTGTGGTGTTGGGGATCACTTTAACCTCATCATCCACACCCTCGTCCGTCCCTGTTGGACCCCAGTCGATAAATCCGGCCACCGTGGTGGTCCTCCCTTCCTGTGAATTGTCATAGCTATCCCATTTCAGCTGCCTCCGTGAGCGCAACAAATGCCGCAAGATATCGGCTTTACTCCCCTCCAAGAACTCCAGAGACTCCCCACCCTCTGAGGGGCGTGATTTAGAACTGCACCCTTCGCAAAGCTGACGTCTTTGCCTCTGCGACCGCGATTTGGACCCCAACCCCCATAATCCTGCTCCTCCTCTGTACCCAGGTGATGGGACAGGAGGAGGCGGGACACTCCGTTGCCAAGAGCCCAGAGTCCTCCAGTGCTGGGCGCTGGGTGCGTCCCGGGTAGGTGGGGGGCGGGGCCGCATGCGGGGCGCTGATCGAGGCAGCAACTTGAGCGGCAGGCCCTGTCCCACTGGAGCACACAGGGACAGATCCATAGTGAGGTGGACGAGGGCGAAGAGGATCCACATTCTGCATCCCAGCAGGCCTGAAGGCTTTAAAGCAGCCATGGAACTGGAGAGAGAGAGAAAGAGAGATGAGACTTGAGTCTAATTGGGCCACCTTGACCAACACTTATTTCATACCCTCCAGCATCACCTTGAAGAAAGGAGAATTGAAGCCACTCTGTGTTACTTCATCGCTTCACTCGAACGATGAAAAATGAACAAAACAGAGAATCAAAACTTAAAACTTTCACTAATGCCACCCACAGTCTCTTCAGAGGGTCTCTCATGTGAAGTTGTTTGTGGGAAACCACTAGAGACTAGGTTATGGTCTCATGAAGCCCCTTGGCACAAGCACCTTTGGAGGCCCCCCACCCCTACACTCTGACAATAACATAAAAATAATGGACAAAAATAGACCTGAGAAATGATTATTTAATAAACAGCTCATGTTTGTTTATGTGTGCTGGGAACAGGTGAAAAACGTAATGTAAACAAAATGATTCATTTTCAATTAATATGTGCAATGGCCTATTGTTTTCTGCACAGATACATTTCTGCACATTCAAATAATTTTAAATACAGTTGTAGAGTGAGATATAAGGAGACTTTATTTAATATACTTGGTCTTCACATGTTCATGGCCTTCAGAGGACTGTCCCTAGTATTTGCCCTGGCTTAGGGCTTGTGGTCCGAAGCCCCTGGGCACTGGCCTCAATGCCCCAGTCAGTACCATCCCTGGAAACCACCGATCATTGATCAAAACCTGACATCTGGTTGCATCCTAGCACTGACGAGTGAGCAAAGAGGGTGAGGGGAATAAAACAATAGTATGCTTCAAATAATAAAAGTACTAAACAAAATCAAACTACCACCAAACATGCTGTTGTAAATATATGTTACACCATGTAGACCAATCACTTTCAAAGGGAAGTCTCAGAACTAATTACATGGTGGTTTGGAGTTCTGGTCAGCAAGCAGCCTCCACTACACTACACTAGACCACCCTGTCATCATGGCCAAACAGCATTTTAATTGAAGTATCCTGCCAACGTTACGCTCTGCATTCACCCACACTCAAATGACTGTGCATTTTTCATGAAATCACTTATAAATTCCAATGCTAATGTTGTCCTCAGAATCGATAATCAGATTAAACCTGAAAATATTGTTACACTCCTAACCAGAACAGAAAACATCTCTGCAATCATCGTGTCCTTTATTCCGAATGTGGTTTCACACTCCGCTGGCTTTCTCCTCAGGCTTCGTTCTGCTTCGTGACTCACTAAACTCTTGCAAATGGAGCTCTAATAATAATTAATTTTGCATTTCCCCTTCACATCATAAAGGTCAGACACTAAACGCGTCTCGAACTGCTTTTTGTAAGACTCTGATAACCAGTCCAATCTCCGCTGCCTTCTCTGATGTACTCTTTGTGCGCTGACCCGCTGAAGGATTCGGTAGCTGCAATCACAGTACAAGGCTCTGTGGCATTGTATAAAGGAGTCACTTTTACACTAGACTAATCCTACAGCATCTCAGCCTTTCTTCAACTTTTTCTGTTCTAGTTTTATGAGTTATTCAGGCGAGTTTTGATATGATGTTCGTGTTCTCCGTTCATTACTTTGCCTCAAACTTTGTCTACTGAACTTAAAAGACGGGTTACCTAAATCAATAATATTATATACATCGATCAGGCATAACATTATGACCACCTCCTTGTGTCTACACTTACTGTCCATTTGATCAGCTCCACTTACTATATAGGTGCACTTTGTAGTTCTACAATTACAGACTGTAGTCCATCTGTTTCTCTGCATACTTTTACCCTGTTCTTCAGACCCCCATGGACCCTCACAAAGCAGGTACTATTTGGGTGGTGGATCATTCTCAGCACTGCAGTAACACTGACATGGTTGTGGTGTGTTAGTGTGTGTTGTGCTGATACGAGTGGATCAGACACAGCAGTGCTGCTGGAGTTTTTAAACACTGTGTCCACTCACTGTCCACTCTATTAGACACTCCTACCTTGTCAGTCCACTTTGTTGATGTAAAGATGATATGCTCATCTGCTGCTGCACAGTTTGTGTTGGTCATCCTCTAGTCCTTCATCAGTGGTCACAGGACACTGCCTACAGGACACTGTTGGCTGGATATTCTTGGTTGGTGGACTATTCTCAGTCTATCAGTGACACTGAGGTGTTTAAAAACTCCAGCAGCACTGCTGTGTTTGATCCACTCAGACTAGCACAACACACACTAACACACCACCACCACATCAGTGTTACTGCAATGCTGAGAATGATCCACCACCCAAATAGTACCTGCTCTGTGAGGGTCCATGGGGGTCCTGACCACTGAAGAACAGGATAAAAGGGGGCTAACAAAGTATGCAGAGAAACAGATGGACTACAGTCTGTAATTGTAGAACTACAAAGTGCACCTATATAGTAAGTGGAGCTGATCAAATGGACAATGAGCGTAGAAACAAGGAGGTGGTCGTAATGTTATGCCTGATCGGTGTATATTGCTATATAAAGCATTATAGCATTAGTATAGCATCAGTTATCTAGCTAATTTTCATGTTCAAGTCTTGGTACCACTTGCATAAAAAAAGTAATTTGTTTAAATAAAGCACTAAAGCTTTCCTTCAGGGCTGCTGTGTATGAGCACAGTGTCTTTGACTCTGAATGTAGAGGAGTTCTATTGATTCAGAGCCACAGCTACTTCATCAAGGTATATCTGTAATCTGTACTGTCCTTCAGCGAGCCCAGCAACGGTCAAAGGCTAATGTAGAGGGATTAGCAAGCTTGCACCCACATTCACTCAGCACACGCTCACTGATACAAAGAGGTGAGGACTAGGGGTGGGCAATGTGATGACATATTATTGTATATGTGATAATGTACACAATACACAGTACACTTTTCTAACTATAACATGTTTATTGTCAGTGCTTCCAGAACACAAACCAACTGCTAACTCTCAATTCTAACATGCCCTCACCAGTTTAGCCTCATATCCTAGAAGAGCATGGCACCTACGTTACAAAGTGGCCACCAATCCTGGCATCAGAGGGTCATTTAATAGGGCAATGCCCAACCAACCAAACATCATGCCCCACTAAACTCACTGTAGTAAAACTACACTGTAGTAAAACTACACTCAGCATGTAGCTACTGCTTGCCGCACACATATAAAAGGCTACACTACTTATCTTTGGAGAGTTTGAATGCATCCCTTTATGTGGGCTGCATTTTAAGGATGTGCTGTATGTTGTGGGAAGATAGCAGTGCTGTACGTTGTGGGAATTAGCAGATTTCCTAAATGGGTAGACCTTTGCAGATTTGCTATAAATGTGGTTCTCCTGCTGATTCTGTCCTGAATGTGTGGTTTCTTCGGACAGATTTACTGTACATTTCTTGCCCTGTTGTTTTGGGATTTGCCCCTCTGTGACTTTTGGTTGCCCCACTTCTTTGTTCTGGCACTGGGCCTGATGGCCACTCACAGGACAGGGGAAGGAGGGACAACGAGGAGCAGATTAAATAGGAATTAATTTTTGCTTGGCTAAGCTAGCCTCAGTGATCTAATTAGTTAATTATTCATTAATTAGCCACTCTTGTAATGCAAAACATTGCTAGCTGTGTAGCCAAGAGTTGCTAACTAGCAAGCTAGCAAAGTTCCTTCAGCAGGCATGTATAACAGATGGAAAGCCCTACAAAAGACAGTTTTTGAATATGAAATATGAAGTGTATCTTCCCTTGTTGGAGGGTCTAGATTGAATAAATTCTGAGAAAGTTCTGCTGCTGAAGTCTAAACTTATGTTGATTTTATCTTTTGTCCCTGTTACTTCACTTGAGCTACTACAATAATGGAATGACACTTAAGATGGCATCTGGGATTCGCCAAAGTGGTAGTGTTGAGGTTAATGTAGCACAAAGAAACACATTTATCTAATGTTATTACTTCTTCATGTAATGAAATGCTGCGCCTGCACTTACGTATTTTGTGTGTGCGTGCACTACCTGTGCCAGGTGGCTGCCCAACTCGGCACAGACTGAACTACAAGGTTCTAAACTTTATAATAAGCTGAACATAGTAAAGAACAATGTGTGCCTGCTTTAAAGTGAAGTCTGTATGTTTGTATTTTGTTTACATATTTTAAAACCCTGCAGTAGCTGTGCACTGTTTAACAGTGTGTTTCCATTACAGCACTTCCTCTAACAACTGCTGGATGCTTTAGGGGTGGGTCACTAAGGCACAAGCAGGTTGAGGTGCAAAAAAGAGAAAGTCTATGTAAAGTAAGAGGCCATGTCTGAGCCCCAAAACAAACCATTATTATTTTGACTATACTGTTTTCAAATTTAAAAAGTAATCAAACATAATGACGTTTTATCAACTGTTATATCTTCCACTTGTGCCTTCTAGTGTTCACCATTTGACTGTGTGCGCCACATATGAACAATCTAGTTGGTCGCCACTCAGAGCGTGGATGTGCTTTAGCGGTCTGATAAGTCAGTTACATGTATATATTCTTGTCTGTTATCTAATTGTAGAACATTATGACACATTCTGTTTGATGTAAATTCTTAAAAGAAAAGGCAAGTCATTTAGCATCTTCTCTTCAATCTTGCCAAGTTTATGCTGCTTAAATTTTCAGTACCCACAACTTAAAACACCCTCATGTGACCCTGCAACTTGGATTGTGGATGCAACCAGTGTAGACTAAGAGTGTGCAAGTTCTACAGTGATCAAGGAGGATGAGAGTGGATGTTTGCAAAATTTTTGTTATTTAGGATTCATTGCACATAAAGATAAAAAGTCTCTAAAGTGCAAGTTAGGCCTGAGCTTCAAACAACTTTCTACTGCTGTAAACCCAATGAGTAATCTGTCTGTCGAAGCATCTAATCAGAGACTGCATGCTAATCTGAAACGGCTAAAGATCCCCGTGCTGAAGAAGAGTGCACCAATCTCACCTAAATATGCAATCCTTGATCTTCTTTCATGTTTCAAATGCTAAAGGGGTAATGTGAGTATAATATGAAAGCCTCGTGTTGAATTACTTAAACA